GGGCAGGCGGAGGGGGAGGGGGCATGGGGAAGCGGGGGGAGGAGATCGGCTGGCTGGGAGGACCGGAGTAGCGGGGTGACTGGGTAGGAGCTCAGTGGGGGAGAGACTCACCCGGGGCGGGGGGTGGGGGGGGCATCCTGCGAGGCACATGGGGAGGGGAGTGAATGGGGGCTGGGCAGGTCAGGGGGGTGTGGGACTGGGCCTTCACCTGACACATGCTGATCGGGGGTGGGGGGGGCACACTCCAGAGCCAGCCTCTGATGAGAGCGGAAGCCAATTTTGGCTGGTGGGGGGGTCCTCTCTTTTGCACCCCCTCCCCGCCCTTCAGAGAGGGGGCACGCAGCATCCGCCCCAGTGTGGCAGCAGCTCTGAATCGTGGGGTGCGGACCCGATCCTGCTTGACACCAGCCTCCACCTGCTGGGATCTGGCTCCCTGGCTTCAGAGGGGTCTTGGGAGGGGCAGGACCCTGGTGCCAGCTCAGTGTCTCGCTTCCTTTTGTTAAGCGAATCAAGCTTTGGACGCGCCTGGTGTTAAGAGGCTGCTGCTAACAATAGGCGGCTAGGGAGAGCCCCAAACTGTTGGCAGACCCTGGTCTGTTCTTTGTACCCATCCCCCTGTGTCCACAAGCCGCTCCCTGCTCTCCAAGGGGGCTGCACTGGGAGAGATGCACAGTGGGGCTTATAAAGGGAAGAAGCCAGTTTTGAAATCGGTATTTCCTCTTTCTGACTTGGAGGTGGGAGCTCTGCCCCGCCACAAGCCCCGAGAGTGCAGGAAATCTAGGGCCCCCGTGGGGCTGCTTCTGGAACCCCTGAAAGGTGGGGTAGGGACCTCCGCAGGCCTCTTTCCTCTCTGCGCCATCCTACCCTGCCATTGGCATGATGCAGAAGCTGGCAATATGGCTCCTAACTGGATGGCTCGGTTATTTACTGGGTGTGTGCAAGGGGGTGGGTGGAGAGGTGTAGTTCCCCAGGCTGCCCTCTTTTAATATCCGATCCATTTATCACACACACACACACACCGCTCCTTAACACCTGTCAAACTCCTATGAGCTCAGGTGCATCTGTTCCTGGGGAAGGTGATGCAGCAGAAATGCTTCTAGTGGATGTGGGAAGCCAGGGGGCCTCCTGCCATGCAAGATTATTCCAAAGCGGGGTCGGGGGAGAGGCCGATCAATGTTGACTTTTCCCAAAAGCCAGGAACACCCCGACTTCCCTTCGACTAGCCCGTGGTGATGCCTCTGCCCCATGGCTCTTGCAGGGGGTGCAGACTCAGGAAGGGGCTAACAGAGTGGGGGCAGCAGCGCGGGCCCCTGGCAGTGCCTTCTCTTGCCCAGCTGAGTTTACTCCAGCAGACAGAGATGCCCTCTGCTGCGGGTGCCCCAGTGAGGGAGGTAGCTGTTGGCAGGGCTGCTGGTGCGGAAAGGTGGAAGGAGCGCCCTGTTCTCCACGGCGCTGGCTGCTTCCTGGGATGAGGCTGTCTCACGGCGTGTCACAGCCTGCTGCCGGTCTTGTCCCGGCTCTGCAGGCTAAGGTGCCGTGTCCTGGCGCAGGGCCCGAGTACTGTGGTCTCTCTCCTTGCTCCGCTTTGCCTTCTCCGCCGTGTCCGGATTGTTGTTTTCCTAGGCTGGGGTTCTGCTTGCCTGGGAGAGGCACTGTTTATCTGAACTGGCCTCGGGGAGAGGCTGCATTTCTAGCTAATGAAACGCCAGAGCTCGGTGACCTGAGGCTTGGCATCTCGGGATGATTGACTTGGGTGTCACGCTTGGAGCTGTGTTTTGGGGTCCTAGTTCTTTGTATTACAGTCGTGCTTAGAGACCCCACCTGAGACCAGGGCCTGAGGGGCTGTACGTACACAGATTATCCCTGCAGCATGGTCCAGTGGGTAGGGCACTGGGCCGGGACTCAGGAGACCTGGTTGCTGTTCCTGGCCTGCTGGGTGACTTCAGGCAAGTCACTTTGCCGCTCTGTGCCTCAGTTTCCCCATCTGAAAAACAGGGAGAATGATACTGACCTTTGAACTCTACTGTTCGGAGGTGAGTGGTGGTGGTAGCATTAATAAAAAGCTCGCGGGGCAAATAGACAAGACAGACAAAGGGTGGGAGGGGAAACAGACGCAGAGGAGAAGTGACTTGCCCAAGGTGACGCAGCAGTGGCAGAGCGGGGACTAGAACTGGTCTCCTGAGTCCCACTCCAGCGCCCTGGGTGCCGCTGGGCCGTGCTGTCTGTCCTGTACATCCCCTAACCCACGGCTTGGAGGAAGAGGTGATGGTGATTTAGGGACTGGAGGAAACACCTGCTGTGAAATAGTTGCCTGCCTGACAGGTGAAATGCTGTTAATCGCTTTACAGATGAGAGGGGCTGAGTTCGTCTTGCAGGGGGGGTTCCTCACATCCCTCCACTCCCCGCCCTCGCGCTCCCTGCCAAGTTCTTTGTGTGCTGCCCTGTCATCCCCCTCTATTTTGGGGGCTCCCTGCAACCCCCCCCACCTCCTCCCTCATGCCAGGGACTGTCCCCCCCCATTCCCTCCTCCGTGGCCCCCCCAATTATTCCTCCTTTATTTACTATCTGGGCAGGAAGGTGTCCATGCTAACCTCTATTGAGAGGATGGGCAGAGCTCACCTGGGGTGCTGGAATGTGTTAATGGCTGCCATCTGCCGGTGCTTTGATCTATAGACAATTACAGACCTGGTGGAAGCTGACTGTCCCCTGGTTTGGCCCTTCCAGTTTGCCTATTTTTCACCAAAATCCATAGGGGTCTGCCTACTGATGCCAAGGAAAACCGGGGCTCTGGCATTATTTTCGCAGGCCTTCCGAAAGGAGGAGGGTCCGTTCGGTGAGCAGCTCTCGTTGCCAGGACAAGCTCTTCGTGAACCAGAACCGCTTCCCAAAGCGCTGGTGTCCGTTGCTTTCAGGCCACTGTGCCAGTCTGCCCAGCGCCTAGCAAGGCGGGGGTCTGGTCAGAGAAATAAATAATCACGCTAGCAGACCCCGCTTTCCTTACAATTGTACCCAGCCCTCCCATTACAGCCCCTTGCAGCAGAACCGGCTGCACTGGTTGGCGCCCCCGGCGCCCTCTGACTAGCACGTGGGGCTGGTTTGGAACGGTCCAAACGTGGTTGTGGGCAGAGGTGTGCCCTGTCGGGATGCGGGCACTGGCCGTGCACCGGTGCCGGGAAACGGCGCCTCGTGTGCCCCCTGTTTGTGGGTCGCTCATCTAGTCCGTCTGTCCCGCTCTGGCCAGCGCAGGGTTGTCTCTGTGGTATGTTCTCAAATGACCCGCCGGATGGGGCTTCCCTGCGTGGCCGAATGGGCAGAGGGCGCTCTCGAGTGGGTTTGGACGGTGATCTTAAGCGCTGACTTTAGTTTCTCCGCTTCTTGTCCGTGCAGCGGCCTCCCAGCCTGGCCTGGGCTATGTGCGTTCAAAGCGTCTTCTCCACTAGCGTTTGCAAATGAAAATGGAGGAAATGTCTTTGTCTGGCCTGGATAACAGCAAGCTGGAGGTAAGCGGGAGTGAGCCGGGACCTCCAGAGAGCCACTTTCCCTTGGCGAATCCTTCCCACCATCCTGACTCAGGATTTAATGAGCCCGTTTTCCTCTGCGCAGAATTGTCCGTGGAGCAGGCAGATCTGCTGGCTGATCAGGGAGCAAGGCGTGTCTTTGCCACTCCTCTCAGCCCTGCAGAGCCAACAGGATTCCAGGCTGCGTTAGCCACAGCTGCACGGATGCAACCCCGGGGATGCAAGGGGTGGCGGCGGGGGTAGAATTTATTACTGGGGGGTGATGCTGGGAAGAGCCAAGCCTGACTCGTGGGTCCTGAAATGCCAGGAATGTGGATTCCTATAGTGCTGGCCTTTGACCCCTTTATGGTGCACCCAAGGGGAGGGATGTGGCGAATCGCTGGGAAACCAATGACACTGAGTCAGAGGGAACGCCAGTGAAACTGAATTCCAGAGCTTGCCTAGGGAAGGTGAAAGAACGGGCCCACAGCTTTACCCGTGCGCCCAGGGCTGTCCTGGGGAAAGGAGGGGGGGCGGCCTGCTGGATTCCTATGGAGAGGAGGGACCCCTCTTTCAGGGTGCAGGCGTGGAGTCTCTCTCCTTCCTTGCAGTGTTAGTGAGAAAGCAGCCATGTGTCCAGTTCTAACTGGAAGCCACGGATGGGGGTGGGGGCGCGAGAATCCACCTCATTGGGCCCCCGATTCTGCCCGTCCTGAGCGGACCCCTCTGGGAGGGGAAGAGTCTGGGTTTGCAGCGGGACGTGGGTACATCCAGACCGTGCGACTTCATCCCAGGACGAGGAAGATCAAGGCAGAAGGCTGCTGTCTTGTGGGGAGAGCTGGGAGCCATGAGACTTCCCAGGGTAGCTTCTCTGCGCCTGCTTCTGCCCCTTCTGTTGCCTTCTGGGGGAAGAGAGCAGGGAAAGCTCCCTGATCCCAGACTCTTCGCTCTCCTTATACCTCCGTGGCTGGGGGTAAAGCGGCGACAGCCTCGGGTGGGAGACCACGTGCAGCTGGGCCCTGCATAGCCACCAGTGGGCACCTGCTCCAGCATTGTGGCGTTTGCTGGGACGGGCAGGAAACACGCTCAGGAAAGGTGGCAGCTGTTGCTCTGGGATACAGTGCAAGGGGAGGGCGTGTGAGTGGGGGGCAGTGGGGAGGGGGCACCGATTTTTTTCAAGGGTGGTGGCAGTGACATCTGCACCAAGCTCTAGGAACAATCTTGGATCCGCCATTCAAACCCACGGCGCAGCGATGGCCACTAAAATCAGCCATGGTCCTGCTGTGGTATTTCCTGTGCCGGGCCTGGGCTGTTGAAAATGGCAGGGGGGGGAATTTCATCTGGTGGGATGCAATCGGGTCTCCCTCCCCGCGGTTTCTCACCGGCTCTGTTGGGCCCCAGGCCATCGCTCACGAGATTTACACGGACCTGGTCGAAGACGCCTGCCTGGGGCTCTGCTTCGAGGTGCATCGGGCAGTCAAGTGCGGTTACTTCTTCCTGGACGACACGGACCCCGACAGCATGAAGGATTTCGGTGAGTTCCCTCTAGGGCCCCTTTCCTGCTCCCTTCCACTTCCTCTGACTTAAGGGGGGCAGAACTGGCAGGAGCGTTCTAGGAGGATTTAAAGGGACATGCCAACTTGGCTCTTTAGAAATGGCGCGTGGAAAGCCGGGATCCGGTTTCTGATGAGGCCGCTTCGGATAGCAAAGCCTGATGCTTCCAGAAATGCCCTCGAAGGTCACTTTGAGTCTGGTCTGCTCCCCCGTTGAGCTTTGAAAGGGAGACACGGCGCTACAGTAGCTACCCAGCCACAGGGTAAACTGGCCAGTGCGGGTCCACGCGCGGAGTGAGTGAACTTGAAACCCAGTCGGGATACAGGGAACCATCCTGGATCAGATCAATGGCCCGTCTAGACCAGTGGCTCGCCACCTTTCCAGACTGCTGGGCCCCTTTCAGGAGTCTGCTTTGTCTTGCGGGCCCCCGGGTTTCGCCTCACTTAAAAACGACTTGCCGACAAAATCAGACCTAAGCATACAAAAGTGTCACAGCCTCTAGTACTGAAAAATTGCCACCTGCCTCAAATTTATCCTATCATTATCAAATACATCACCTGGAACATAAATACTGTCCTTACATTTCAGTGTATATCGAGCAGTATAAACAAGTCATTGTCTGTATAAAATTGTCGTTTGTACTGACTTCGCTAGTGCTTTGCACGTAGCCTGTTGTAAAACTAGGCAAACATCTAGGTGAGTTAATGTACCCCCTGGCAGACCGCTGCGTACCCCCCAGGGATACGTGTACCCCGCTTGAGAACCACTGATCGTCCTGTCCCTGACATTGGCCAGCACCAGCTGCTTCAGAGGAAGATGCAAGAAACTCCACAGTTAGGGAATAACCTGCCCATGGGGAAAATGTTTTCCTGGCCCTGTTCATTGGAGGCTGCTTTCTGCCCTGGAGCCGGAGGCTTGTCTTTTAATCCTTGTTTTCCTCCAACTCCTCTGAGTTAGGCCTTGGTTAAGCATAGGAATTGTACCACTTGCACTAGACTCTCAAGGAGCTGCAGCCTCTCTCGTATGCGTGCAGCGATCCCGGTGTGAAGCTGCCGTAGGTGGGTGTAGCTGCTCTGGTTCGGGAAGGGGGGGAAGCTGTGCGGGCAGTTTCGCTGTCTCCGCACCTGGGCTTGCACTAGGCTGGTTAGCATTTGCACGCTGTAGTTGTATCAGTACAAAACCTGTGAGTTGCTCAGGCTGCGGAGTGGCCTTCGGGATGTGGTGTCGTGCCTGGTACAGACGTCAGAGAAAGGCAGCGGTTTTGAAACCGCTGGGGTCCCTCTAAGCCAGAGGTGGGCAAACTATGGCCCGCGGGATCGTCCTGTCTGGCCCTTGAGCTCCTGGCCAGGGAGGCTAGCCCCCGGCCCCTCCCCTGCTGTCCCCCCTCCCCCATCATTGCGCGGGGTTGTGCACTCCTGCCAAGCAGAGTGCCAGCATGGCTAGTTCCGGGCGGCCCGGCTGCCAGACATGCTGCTCTGCATGGTAAGGGGTCCAGGGGGTTCTGGGGGGCAGTCAGGGGAACAGGGGGTGGTTGGATGGGGTGGAGGTTCGGGGGGCGGTCAGGGGAAGGGGAACTGGGGGGGTTGGATAAGCGGGGGAGTCCTGGG